CAGAATTGATCTCCAGAAACGTACTGAGTAGGATAATGGGCCCAGGAGTTGGGAGTTGTAGGAATAGAAATTTAGGGCGTGTCCCTCTGGAGCCGGTGCACTGGGCTTTCGTGTTTCTCACTCTAAAGGAGGGAAGGAAAGTGTTTCTTTCCTCTTAGAAATACTTGAGAGCGGAATGCTAGCCAGAACAATTATTTGTCACCAGATAAGATTTGTATGTGCCCTGTCTGCTCTCCATAAATTAGGATCACTTAATATTTTCTTGCCAGTGTCTAATGGCCAGAAATGATTACTGTCCTTCTACGTAGCTTCCACTAGGTTGTACTATTATACAGTCTTGGAAAAGTACTTAAATGTTGTGAACGATAGTATGCTCACCTATAAAAAGGGGACCCGTTCCCCTTGGGGAGCTCGCTTGTGTTACACACGTGTCAAGCATGGTGCAGGGCAGGTGCTCAGGAGCGTTAGTTCCCTTCTCTGCCAGCGTCCAGCATTCCTAAGGGCGGTGGCCCTGCCGGAAGAGCCTTCCTTCCTCTCATTGTCACCGGCCTCCTGACACCCAGCCTGGAAGCCCACACCCAATTAAAGTGTGTCTCAGGTCGGTCTGCACCTCTGAACTGCCCCAACTTGGTAATCCCAGTAGTTATACACAGAAAACTTCCCGTCAGCTATGGGTTTGAACCTGCTTTTTCCAAGTTGCACAGAAGCCTTTCTTATATCCTTCTGTGTTTTGGGGTCAGAGAAGAGTTTGGGTGCTACAGGAGAGGAGATCCGGAAGGGGGTGATTAATGAGAGGGTGGGGACCAGGGAAATAGCGGCTGGAGACCCCACTTGCTCGGCAGCCTCAGCAAGGACAGCGACCTGGAGACGGCAGCTGGGTAAGAGGAGGACGGATGGGTGGAGCCAGTGATTTGGTATGTTGTTCCCGAAGCGTTGCTTTTCTTTCTAATTTATCCTAAGTCTCTTGTTTTTCACTTAGAACCGCATGGAGGAAAGCAAAGCCTTATTTAAAACCATCATCACCTACCCCTGGTTTCTGAACTCATCGGTGATTTTGTTTTTAAACAAGAAGGATCTTTTGGAAGAGAAAATCATGTACTCTCATCTAATTAGCTATTTCCCAGAATACACCGGTAAGTAAGTGTCCATCTTGCTGCCCTGGCCTCCCTGGCATCAGTTCAGAGTTCTCAGCATGGCTCGCAGGGGCCTCCCTGATCTGCCTCTAATGGACTTTCTCCCCATTCCCCACCTCTGAATGGAAGCTCCAGTTGAATCACTGTGTGTTTTCACCTCAGCACCTCCGCACACGCCTCTCCCAATGCCTGGAATACACTGCCAGCTCCTTTGCTAACTCCACTTTGTTCTCTGAGACCCGGCTCAGGCACTTCCCCCTTTGGGAAGTCCACCCCGCCTCATGCTCCCTTCGGGGCCTGGGCTTGCCTTGCTCTCTCTCGGCCTTCAGCTCTCACCCCAGTCAGATCCTGAGGGCAGAGACTGGGCCTGACACACCTTTGCACTTCCAGGGCCAGTCAGAGCACCTGGCACTTCTGATGTGTAAGGTGAAGTGTGGCAGCCCTTTACCAGACGCAGGATAGACGCTGAAGGTGTCTACATGACCTATCCAAGGCAGGAGACTTTATGCCCTATTGCGAATTATTTCTGGTGTAGAAACGTTACCAAGTTTGACATTGATATTTAGAGGAGTAGTGTTTAAGCACTCTCCTTTTTCCCTTTATTCACCACGTTGCCATGTAGTATACGGCTCTCAAGCTTTAGAGTCAGACTTGGGTGACTAGTTATGTTAGTCCCCATATTCTTTCTCTTTGCTCTCCTAGTTCACTTAAGAATTACCTCTTCAAAAGTGGTCCAAATCAGAAAATTAAATTAGGTCATTTTTCAACAAATCTCCTTAAAGTATGATTTTTAGATACCAGGGGACACTTTAAAATACTCTTTTGCAGGTTAATAATAAGGTATAATAAAAATAGTGTCCCAGGTAAATGAGTCTCTAGAGAGAAGATGGCTCAAAGGAGGATTCCAAATAAGAACAAGAGTGCATTGAAAATGACTTGGGGAGGACGTGGTGGTGAGTTGGGATCTTTCTTTTTTATTCCTCTAACTGCCCTCATGACTAGGACCAAAGCAAGATGTCAAAGCTGCCAGAGACTTTATCCTGAAGCTCTATCAAGATCAGAATCCCGACAAAGAGAAAGTCATCTATTCCCACTTCACATGCGCTACAGACACAGAGAATATCCGCTTCGTGTTTGCTGCTGTGAAAGACACAATTCTACAACTAAACCTGAGGGAATTCAACCTAGTTTGAAAGCTGCTGCCCACTCCTTACCCAGGCCAGCAAACCGGATTTGCAAGCTCCTCGTGTTTTTATTTGTAAGTGCTTCTGACCTCACCTGGCCCAGCCCAGAGGTGGCACCAAGTCCATCCTGCAGGCCACCGGGACGGGGATGGGTGATGGAGCTTGTAAGATATTTGAGTTTAGCGAAACTTTTTCAAAGTCTTCATTCCCAAATTGTTTTTACATTTCTTTTCTTGACTTTAGGCTGTAAGATTTTTGTGTAATTTTTGAATTTGATATTTTATAGAATTTTTAAGAACCACTGTGATTTACGATTTTGTTTTTTTTAATTGAAGTGTGTGTAAGAATAGCCGTTAAAAAAAAAAAATCACATAACAGAGGACTCAATTTATAGGTCATGCTTTGAGACCTCTAGGATTATCCTTTTTTTAACTAAATCTTGTAATTGAGTGTTTTTCTCTCTTCATGCTGAAGTATACCTTTAACATGCAAGCAGAGATTTTTTTTTAAAAAACAGATGGTTCTTCTTTGTGTTAACTTTCTAAGTCAAATTAATGACAGTATCAGTACCTCTAATTTAGTTTTGCCACAATTTGATCACTATGGAACCAAAGCTGACATAAGAAGATAAATGGGCTCTAGATAGTATATATGTTGTATTGGTGGAAAGTGTGTGTGTGTGTGTGTAAAAATTCCAGTGTAAATGAGCAGGTCTTATAAACTTATGAAATAAGTTTAAAAACCCAACCTGTTTAACAAATGCAATGTAAGCCCTGCCAAAGGTCTGATGCCCACCACAGATTTGCTGTTTGACCCATGTGTGCTGTGCCTTTCTGAGGCAGCTAAGAATATACCATTTTTCCATTAGCATTGGACTATGTTGTGTTTCCTTGAGCTTATGGTTGATTGATTGTTATGCTCCTAAAAAGAAGAATGCTGTGACTTTAATAGTTAATAACTCAGAAACTTCCTAAATGTCCTTAGAGGGGAGGAAAACTAATTTTACCTCCACCCTTCTAGGTTCCTGGCTGAGACCCCACCCCTGTAATACAAGATTAACAGGAGAAAAGTAACAGAAGTCTAACACCATTTATACCTCCTGTATACATGGGAGCTACCCTGGGAAACTGAGTTTAACTCCCCTGAAATGGCCCAAGCCATCACCTTAATTACCTTCTTCAGCTAAAGACACAAGAAAGATGGAGGAGGAGGGAAGGTCAGTTATGGGAGGTTAACAGGAACAGGTAAAGCACAGTAGAAAAGGGTAAGGTTGTTTTGCAGAATTAAGTTGATAAAGAGTTTCTTGTCATTTAGAGTCACCCTTCTCTTCTAGGTACAGAGAGGGAGACACGCTTAAAATGGAGAGTTCCCTTATAAATGTAAATTTCCCTTACAATAGGTTTTCCGAGCTTTTCCTGTGTCTGTCGTTTCTTAAAAATAATCACCAAAAAGCACATGAACAGATGCTAAATCAAAACTACAATGAGGTATCACTTCACACCAGTCAGAATGGCCATCATCAAAAAGTCTACAAACAATAAATGCTGGAGAGGGTGTGGAGAAAAGGGAACCCTCTTGCACTGTTGGTGGGAATGTAAATTGGTACAGCCACTATGGAGAGTCCTTAGAAAACTAAAAATAGTTACCATATGACCCAGCAATACCACTCCTGGGCATATATCCGGAGAAAACCATAATTCAAAAAGACACATGCACCCCAACGTTCATGGCAGCACTATTTACACTAGCCAAGACAGGGAAGCAACCTAAATGTCCATCGACAGAGGAATGGACAAAGAAGATGTGGCACATATATACAATGGAATATTACTCAGCCATAAAAAAGAATGAAATAATGCCATTTGCAGCAACGTGGATGGATCTAGAGATTGTCATACTAAGTGAAGTCAGAAAGAGAAAGACAAATATATAATACCGCTTATATGTGGAATCTAAAAAAATGGTACAAATGAACTTATTTACAAAACAGAAATAGACTCACAGATGTAGAAAACAAACTTATGGTTACCAAGTGAGGGGGAGGGATTAAATTGGGAGATTGGTATTGACACATATACAGTACTATATATAAAATAGATAACTAATAGGAACCTACTCTTTAGCACAGGGAACTCCACTCAATACTCTGTAATGCCCTATTTGGGAAAAGAATCTAACAACTAAACTAACAATAGTCAGCTCAAAGTAATCCTTATACTGAAGAAGCAAATTTTGGGGTGGCATATTCTGTTCCTCTTCAGTCCTGCCTTTGAAAGCTCAATGAGGGACTTCCCTGGTGGTCCAGTGGGTAAGACTCCATGCTCCCAATGCAGGGGGTCCAGGTTCAATTCCTGGTCAGGGAGCTGGATCCCACATGCATGCCACAACTATGAAGTCCACATACCACAACTAAGAAGTCCACATGCTGCAACTAAAGATCCTGCATGCCACAACAAAGATTCCCCCATGCTGCAACGTCCCAATGCAGGGGGCCAAGGTTCAATCCTTGGTTGGGGAACTAGATCCCACATGCATGCCGCAACTAAGAAGTCCACATGCCACAATGAAGAGCTGGCACAGCCAAAGTAAATAAATAAATAATAAATTTTTAAAAAAAGTTCAATGAAGTTTCACAGTCTAGAAGCTAGGTTGATAGAGTGCTCTATTATTTCATTGAACCAACCTCTTAATCTCGAGGACAGGTCAGCTCAGTTAAACAGTTGTGTCTCATTTCAGGAGCTGGTGTTGCAGGTGGGATCCCGAAGCTAGCCTTATACGGTGCGAGCAGTTGGGTATTTAATAAGAGGCACGTCTACGGAAACAAGAGAAAAACAAAAGTTAGTGGTTGGGTCAAATTATAAACTCAGCCTGAGTCCCGAAGGCTGCCAGTCAGATTTCTAGATGTTGGGGTTGAAGCATCTTCCGCAATTTGAATTTGCCTGATGTCATCGGATGTTCAGATAAACTTCCTGAGTGGTCCACACAGCAACAGGCACAAAGATGATCTAAACGTGAGCCGCTGGGGTCACTTCTCTGAACTTTACGTCAGTCCATTCACATTCAGTTTGCAGGACTTTGGGAAATAACTTTTGCAAAAGCACAACAATAACTTTCATAAATGTCAAAAGACTTAAAAACAGCCATGGTTAAAGATATAATGAGCCTTTGTTATAATGCAATTGACAAGGAAATATGTTTATGTCTGTGACATACATTTTAAGATAATACTAGAATTACAAGTGATAATATTATATCAGGACATATCAGATTTCTAGGAACTTCACACAATTTGTTCTTAGTGATTCCAAGTCAAAAGAGTGGAAGAAAATTGGAAATGTTAGTTTGAAGAGATATAGCCAGATTATTTGAGGAAAGTAGGATCTAGTCCAGTTTACAGGAAAATAATGAAACTTCAGACAGTTAACAGAACTAGAACCTGATATCCACAAGGGTGTATTATTTACAGAAGCATCATTTTTCTCTCTACAATCAGCCGCATTTCTACCAAAGGAGAAGATTTCCATTCCAACTGAGATGGAAATAAAATTACTATGTTCTGGAGCTTTGGGGTTTAGTACAATTTACCTTTGTAAAGTCTGTATAAAGCATTCAGCAAAGGCCTTCGAATGCTCTCCTTGAGTGTACAATTCAACCTTGGACCAGTTCACTCTTGCTTCTGTCATCCTCTGAACACTAGCCTCCACTGATCCATTTCCTGATCATTTGCAGGAGAGCCTGGGAGAAATTCTGGTCATCTGTTTCCTTGGTTGGGAGTTGGGTGGGGGTGGGGGGTCCACTAGGGGGCTGTCTGGCTTCTCTGATAACTGCAGTATAATTATGGGTGGGAAGAATACCCCCGCGCATCCAGTCAAGGTCCTTGTGAGTGAGGTTGTGAATGGCCACTGATCTTTCTAACTCCAAATCTGGTAGGATCTTCTGAAAGTGCAGGCAAAAGGGGCTTTGTAATTTTACCTTGTTAAAAGAGTCCCTAAGGCTAGACACCATACTCCTTTGTGTCCTCTTTTCAATTTGATCTTTCCATAGGTACTAATAAGACAATTCCTTAGAATGAGAATTTTTCCCCAATTTTATAAGTTTCCAATTGGAAATTTTTTTTCCAATTTTATAAAAGTTTTTCCAGTTCAAAAGATCCATCATCTTGCCATTGATGAGGAGGATCTTCAATGGTATATTAATCTCAATAGCAACTCAAACCAGTACGGCTCTTTATGGCTTAACCGTGGATGCAAGAGGTGTCCCCGAGGACAGTGCAAAAGCCTGACCCTCATAATGTCAAGAAAGTTCACTCCCAGAGTTAGCCTAAGAAAGCAAAGACCTTCTTTGTCACAGGTGGTAGGAATGGTGTACTGAAAACAATCTCTCACGTTTTCTGTGAGAACATGAAACACCTCCAGTCACAAACCTGCTAATCTGTAATACCAGGCAAGACACTACTGGAATGGGGCTTTTCCACCACTAACAAGACAACAGAGGTTGAGACGCCAAAGGCCCCTTATGGACTAGGACCCCTTAAGACAAACTCCCCTGAGAGCTGGCACAGTGGGACAAAGAGAATGTGTTTCGAGTTGCCATCCTATAGTGGCTGCCGGATACAGGCTGATACTAGCACCTTCCAGCTGGTGATGACTAGAGAGAGTTTTCTTACTAGTCAAAAAGCCAAGTTCTCAAGACAAAGAACAAGATGAAAGGAAAACCTTATCTGACCTATGGTTCTCCTCCTTGTGACAAATGACACAAAAGACAGAGACAACATAAGACGGTGACCATCTATGGAAGGGAAAGGATCAACAGAAAACAAGAGTGCTTATAACAAAATCTTTACCAGTCTTTATGCTCAAGGAACTAATTCACACAAATATTTTCTTCTGTGAATCTAAATTTGGAAAGAATAAGGTGAAATTTCCCCTTCCTCTCTCTACTGGGCCCTATAGACAGAGATCCGAGAGAGGTGACTCTGGTAAGAATTCTTACCCTTTGCTGGCTTCTGCCAGTTTTCCGGGTTCCTATCTTCAGGCTCCAGAAGAAGTACAGTGTTTCAGCAGATCCCATCACGGGTCACCAAACTGTCAGTGAGGAAAAAAAATTTTCCCTCTACCATTCTAGGTTGTTGGCTGAGACCCCGCCCCTGTAATAAAGGACAGATTAACAGGAGAAAAACAAATAGTAAACAAATAACATGTATACATCCTGTATACATGGGGGAGACCCTGGAAAACTAACTCCCTCAAATAGCCCAAGCCATCATCTTAAATTCCTTTTTCAGCTAAAGATACAAGAAAAATGTTGGGAGGTGGAGAAGGCCAGTTATGGGAAGTTACTAGGAAAAACACAGTAAACAGAGTAAGGTTGTTATGCAGATTTAAGTTGGGTATCTTCTCCACTGATAAGAGTTCCTTGTGATTTAGAGTCATCCTTCTCTTCCTGGCACAGATTAGAAGATACACTTACAAATAAAAATTTCTCTTATAAATGTAAATGTCTCCTACAAATGAGTAACTTCTACTAGATTTTTAGAGCTTTTCTTCTGTCTGTTTCTTAAAAATAATCCGCTCAAAATAATCCTTATGTCAAAGAGGCATATTTTGGGATGGCATATTCTGCGCCCCTTCATCCTCCGTTTTGAGGCAAGTCTATGCATCATCGCATTGAGGTTCCCTTAGTAGCTGGCTCAGTAAAACAGAAGCAGAATCACCTGGGAAGTGCAGAGTGCTTCAAATCAAAGGCCCAAGATGGTTTTGTTTGTTTTTTATTTGAAGGTGTGTACACACATATAAATACACATACACACGTAAGCACATCGTTCAGAGATTTAAGATGTGACGTGTTTTATCACCAGTCTACAAAATGTACCCAGATTAGTTACATATGTTATGGAACAATCAGCATTCCTGTAACTGCAATAAGCCTTTATCAGCCACTAAGGATAGTCAGGTTCTCATTCTGTTGGAACACTTCCAAGTGTGAATCTATTGAAGAAGAGAAGAACAGCTATGCTGGAAAAGACAGAAATTAAGCTTATGAGAAGCTAGTGATACTACAATAGTAATATTAAGCTAACTTCACTCAAGAAATGAAGGCAAAAGCAACAGTTTTTGTGAAACCTGACAACGATATTAAAATTTTATCTAGAACAGTAACAGTCCAGGAATAGCCAAGACAATTTTGCACAAGAAAACAAAGAACGGGAGACATGGAAGCAGGTGCCAATCGCTGCCCCTGCTGTCCCGGGAGTGCATGGGCTGCCACCACCACTAAGAAACACGGGAGCACGTGCCAGTTGCTGCCCCCACTATCCCGGGGGCATGGGGGCCACTGCTGCCACTGGAAGACCCATGAACAGGGGCTGATTGCTGCCTCCACCGTACTGGGAGCACACACAGGTCACCGCACCCACACACCCCATATAATCAAACCCCATACCCACTGGGTAGGTGACCCACAAACTGGAAAATAATTATGTCACAGAGGTTCTCCCACAGGAGAGTTCTGAGCCCCACGTCAGGCTCCCCAGCCGGAGGGTCCGGCATCAGGAGGAGGAGTCCCCAGAGCATTTAGCTTTGAAGGCCAGTGGGGCTTGAGTGCAGAAGCTCCACAGGACTGAGGGAAACAGAGACTCCACTCTTGGAGGGCACACACAAGTTTTCACGTGCACGGGGACCCAGCACAAAGCAGTGACTTCATGGGAGACTGGACTAGACATACCTGCGGGTATTGGAGGGTCTCCTGAAGAGGTGGGGGTTGATTGTGGCTCTCTCTGTGCGAGGACACCTGTGGTGAAGGACCCAGGGAATATTGATTGGTGTGAGCTCTCCCAGAGGTCACCATTTTGGCACCAAGAAGTGGGCCCCACCCTACAGCCTGCAGGCTCCAGTGCTGGGAGGCCTCAGGCCAAACAACCAGCAGTCGTGGGGTGGGGAGACATAGCCCCACCCATCAGCAGACAGGCAGCCTGAAGTTGTACTGAGCTCACAGCCACCTCTAAACACACTCCTTGACACATTTCTGCCCACCAGAGGGACAAGACCCACATCCATGCACCAGTGGGCAGGCGCCAGTCCCTCCCACCAGGAAGCCTGCACAAGCCCCTAAATCAATCTCACCCACTGGGGGGGGCAGACACCAGAAGCAAGAGGAACTACAATCCTGCAGCCTGAGGAAAGGAGACCAAAAACACAGAAAGTTAGACAAAATGAAATGGCAGAGAAACATATTCCAGACAAGCGAACAAGATAAAACCCCGGAAGAACAACTAAGTGAATTGGAGATAGGCAATCTATTTGAAAAACAATTCAAGGTAATGATAGTAAAGATGACCCAAGATCTTGGAAAAAGAATGGAGGCACAGACCAAGGAGATACAAGAAATGTTTAACAAAGAGCTAGAAGATTTAAAGAACAAACAGATGAACAATACAATAATTGAAATGAAAAATACACTAGAATGAATCAATAGCAGAATAAGTGAGACAGAAGAACAAATAAGTGAGCTGAAAGAGTGGTGGGAATCACTGCCACAGAACAGAATAAAGAAAGAAGAATGAAAAGAAATGAGGACAGTCTAAGAGACTTCTGGGACAACATTAAACACACCAACATTCCCATTACAGGGGTCCCGGAAGAGAAGAGAGAGAGAAAGGACCTGAGAAAACATTTGAAGAGATTATAACTAAAAACTTCCCTAACATGGGAAAGGGAATACTCACTCAAGTCCACGAAGTGCAGAGTCCCATACAGGATAAACCCAAGGAGGAACATGTCGAGACACATATATTAGTAAAACTGACAAAAATTAAAAACAAAGAGAAAATATTAAAAGCAACAAGGGAAAAGCAACAAATAAGAAACAAGGGAATCCCCATAAGGTTATCAGCTGATTCTTTCAGCAGAAACCCTGCAGGCCAGAAGGGAGTAGCACTATGTATTTAAGTGATACAAGGGAAAAACCTACAACCAAGAGTACTCTACCCAGCAAGGCTCTTGTTCAGATTTGACAGAGAAATGAAAAGCTTTACAGACAATCAAAAGCTAATAGAATTCAGCACCACCAAACCAGCTTTACAACAAATGCTAAAGGAACTTCTCTAGGCAGAAAAGGCCACAACTAGAAACAAGAAAATTACGAATGGGAAAGCTCACCAGTAAAGGCAAACATACAGTAAACGTAGGAAATCATTTACACACAAATTTATCAAAACCAGCAATCCTGAGGAGAGTACAAATGCAGGGTACTGGAAATGCATTTGATATTAAGAGACCAGCAACTTAAAACAATCTTGTTTATATACAGAATGCTATATCAAAACCTCATGGGAACAGCAAACCAAAAACCTACAATAGATACACATACAAAAAAGAAAAAGCAATCCAAACACAACACAAAAGATAGTCACCAAATCACAAGGAAAAAAAAAAGAGGAAGGGAAGAAAAAAGACCTACAAAAACAAATCCAAAACAATTAACAAGATGGCAATAAGAACATACATATGATAATTACTTCAAAGGAAAATGGATTAAATGCTCCAACCAAAAGACACAGGCTGGCTGAATGGACATGAAAACAAGACCTGTATATATAGTGTCCACTAGAGACCCACTTTAGATCTAGGGACATATACAGACTGAAAGCAAGGGGATGGATAAAGGTATTCCATGCAAATGGAAATCAAAAGAAAGCTGGAGTAGCAATACTCATATCAGACAAAATCGACTTTAAAATGAAGATTTATAAGAGACAAAGAAGGACACTGCATAATGATAAAGGGATCAATCCAAGAGATCTAACACTTGTAAATATACATGTGCCCAACATAGGAGCACCCCAATATATAAGGCAAATGCTAACAGCCATAAAAGGAGAAATCAACAGTAACACAATAAAACTGGGGGACTTTAACACCCCACTTACATCAATGAACATCATCCAGATAGAAAATCAATAAGGAAACACAGGCCTTAAATGACACATTAGACCAAGGGGATTAACTGATATTTACAGAACATTCCATCCAAAAGCAGCAGAATACACCTTCTTCTCAAGTGCACATGGAACATTCTCCAGGATAGATCACATTCTGGGCCACATAGCAAGCACTGAGTAAATTTAAGAAAACTGAAATCATATCAAGCAACTTTCCCGACCACAACACTATGAGATTAGAAATCAATCACAAGAAAAAAACTGTAAAAAACACCAACATGGGGCTTCCCTGGTGGTGCAATGGTTGAAAGTCCGCCTGTTGATGCAGGGGACACGGGTTCATGCCCCGGTCCTGGAAGACCCCACATGCCGCGGAGCGGCTGGGCCCGTGAGCCATGGCCGCTGAGCCTGCGCGTCCGGAGCCTGTGCTCCGCAACAGGAGAGGCCACAACAGTGAGAGGCCTTCGTACCGGAAAAGAAAAAAAAAAAAACAAAAAACCCACTAACATGTGGAGGCTAAACAATATGTTACTAAACAACCAATGGACCACTGAAGAAATCAAAGAGGAAATCAAAAAACACTAGAGACAAATGACAATGAAAATACCACACTCTAAAACCTATGGGATGCAGCAAAAGCAGTTCTAAGAGGGAAGTTTATAGCAATAAAATCTTACCTCAGGAAACAAGAAAAATCTCAAACAACCTAACTTTACACCTAAAGCAACTAGAGAAAGAAGAACAAACAGAACCCAAAGTTAGCAGAAATCATGAAGATCAGAGCAGAAATAAATGAAATAAAGAAGAAGAAAACAATAGAAAAGTCAATGAAACTAAAAGCTGGTTCTTCAAAAAGATAAACAAAATTGATAAACCTTTAGCCAGACTCATAAAAAAAGGGAGAGGGCTCAAATCAATAAAATTAGAAATGAAAAGAAGTGACAACTGAAACTACAGAAATTCAAAGGATCATAAGAGACTACTACAAGCAACAATATGCCAATAAAATGGACAACCTGGAAGAAATGGACAAATTCTTAGAAAGCTACAAACTTCCAAGACTGAACCAGGAAGAAATAGAAAACATGAACAGACCAATCACAAGTACTGAAATTGAAACTGTGATTTAAAAAACTTCCAAAAGACAAAAGTCCAGGACCAGATGGCTTCACAGGTGAATTCTGTCAAACATTTAGAGAAGAGTTAACACCTGCACTTCTGAAACTCTTCCAAAGAATTTCAGAGGAAGGAACACTCCCAAACTCACTCTATGAGGCCACCATCACCTTGATACCAAAACCAAGCAAAGATACCACAAAAAAAGAATATTACAGGCCAACATCTCTGATGAACATAGATGCAAAAATCCTCAGCAAAATACTAGCAAACCAAATCCAACAATACATTAAAAGGATCATACACCATGATCAAGTGGGGTTTATCCCAGGGATGCAAGAATTCTTCATTATCCACAAATCAATCAGTGTTATATACCACATTAATAGACTGAAAAATAAGAGCCTTATGATCATTTCAGTGGATGTAAAAAAACCTTTTGACAAAACTCAACACCCATTTATGATAAAAACTCTCCAGAATGTGGGCATAGAGGGAACCTACCTCAACATAATAAAGACCATATATGCCAAGCCCACAGCTAACATTATTCTCAATGGTGAAAATCTGAAAGCATTTCCTCTAAGATCAGGAACTAGACAAGGATATCCACTCTTGCCACTTTTATTCAACATAGTTTTGGAAGTCCTAGGCACGGCAATCAGAGAAGAAAAGGAAATAAAAGGAATCCAAATTGGAAAAGAAGTAAATTTGTCTCTGTTTGCAGATGACATGATACTATACATAGAAAATCCTAAAGATGCTATCAGAAAACTACTAGAACTCATCAATGAATTTAGTGAAGTTGCAGGATACAAAATTAATACACAGAAATATTTTGTATTCCTATACACTAACAATGAAAGAGCAGAAAGAGAGAAATTAAAGAAACAGTCCCATTTACCATCACATCAAAAAGAATAAAATACATAGAAATAAACCTACCTAAGGAGGCAAAAGACCTGTACTCTGAAAACTATAAGACGTTGATGAAAGAAATCGAAGATGCTATAAACAGATGGAAAGATACACCATGTTCTTAGATTGGAAGAATCAATATTGTCAAAATGACTGTACCACCCAAGACAATCTACAGATTCAATGCAATCCCTATCAAATTACCAATAGCATTTTTCACAGAACTAGAACAAAAAAATTTTAATTTGCATGGAAACACAAAAGACCCCGAATAGCGAAAGTAATCCTCAGAAAGAAATATGGAGCTGGAGGATTCAGACTCCCTGACTTCAGGCTATACTGCAAAGCTACACTAATCAAAACAGTATGGTACTGGCACAAAAACAGAAGTCAGATCAATGGAACAGGATAGAAAGCCCAGAAATAAACCGATGCACCTATGGTCAATCTACGACAAAGGAGGCAAGAATATACAATGGAGAAAAGACAGTCTTTTCAATAAGTGGTGCTGGGAAAACCAGACAGCTACATGTAAAAGAATGAAATTAGAACATTCTCTAGTACCATACACAAAAATAAACTCAAAATGGATTAAAGACCTAAATGTAAGGTCAGACACTATAAAACTCTTAGAGGAAAACATAGGCACAACACTCTGACATAAATCTCAGCAAGATGTTTTTTGTTCCACCTCCCAGAGTAATGAAAATAAAAACAAAATGAAAATAAAAATAAACAAATGGGATCTAACTAAACTCAAAAGCCTTTGCACAGCAAAGGAAACCACACGCAAAATGAAAAGTCAACCTACAGAATGGGAAAAAATATTTGCAAACGAAGCAACCAACAAGGGCTTCATCTCCAAAATATACAAACAGCTCATGCAGCTCTATATCAAAAAACAAACAACCCAATCAAAAAATGGCAAAAGATCTAAACAGACATTTCTCCAAAGAAATGTCATACAGATGGCCAACCAACACATGAAAAGATGCTCAACATCACTAACTATTAGAGAAATGCAAATCAAAACTACAATGAGGTATCACCTCACACGGGTCAGAATGGCCATCATCAAAAAGTCTCCAAGGACTTCCCTGGTGGCACAGTGGTTGGGTGTCCGCCTGTCGGTGCAGGGGATACAGGTTCAGGCCCTTGTCCAGGAGAATCCCACATGCTGCAGAGTGGCTGGCCCCACGCGCCACGGCTACTGAGCCTGCACTCTGGAGCCCACGAGCCACAACTGCTGAGCCCGCGTGCCACAACTGCTGAGGCCTGCTTGCCTAGAGCCAGTGCTCTGCAGCGAGAGGGGATGCTGCGATGAGGGGGCCGCGCACCGCAGCGGGGAGTGGCCCCCGCTCGCCGCAGCTA